CAGCTTACTAATGCCTAAGATATCGATGTTTATGCATTCCATTTCATCTTTGACAATTTCCAATTTTCCTAGATTCATACTTCATACGTTGCATGTTCCAATTATTACTGGATGTTTACAGCGGTTTCTCTTCATTTTGAGTTATGCCCCATCAGAAATGAAGGTCCTGTGGGCTTTTCTCCCATTCGTCTCATCACCGTCAACTCTATTTTGATGGGACAGCTCTTCCCCAGTCACAGTTTGAGTGCCTTCTAACCTGAGGGACTCATTTTCCAGTGCTATATCTGACAGTGTTTCTCTGCTATTCATAAGGTTTTCAGTGACTTAATATTCGGAAGTAGCTTGTCACTCCTTCCTAGTCTGTCTTCATCTGGAAGCTCATCTGAAACCTGTCCATCATGGGTGACACTGCTGGTATTTAAAATACTAGTAGCATAGCTTCCAGAATCATAGAAACTCACAATCCACCGCAGTACGACTGACAGACATGTGGTGGATCTCTTTGTATAGCGGATCTGAATGATCCACATGTTTTGATCTCTGTAATCTCTGACCAGTATCTTAATTGAAGTAACTGCTTTTAGCAAATTCTACTTTCTTTAATGCTGGAAGCTATGCCTCTGGTGTTTTAAATGCCAGTAGGGTTACCCATGGTGGACAGTTTCAGTGGAACTTTCAGAGTAAGATGGACTAAGAATGCAAGGCACAACACTTCTGAAAGATCATTTACTAAAAACTTTATGAATTACAGTGGAACAATGTCTTATACAGTGCTGGAAGATGAGTCCCTCAGGATGGAAGACATTCAAAATACAAAGAGTAACCTCCTGAAAGTAGATTGACCAAAATGAGGTGGATGTAGCAAAGCTTTCAGGACCTTCATTTCCTGATAGGGCTCAAAATGAAAAGAAACAACTGCATACATCCATGAAAACTGGAATGTGGAATGTAGGAAATATTAAACTAGGAAAATTGGAAATTGCCAAGATAAACTAAATGGAACACAAAAAGCTCAATGTCCTAGGCATTTGTGAGGTGAAATGGACAAGAATTGGCCATTTTGAATAGGATAGTCATACGGTTTACTATGCTGAGAATGACAAAAGGAAGAGGAATAGTGTTGTATTTACTATCAAAGAGCATTTCAACCTATACTGATCTACAACATTGTCTGTGATAGGATAATATTCATGTGCTTACAAGGAAGACCAGTTAATACCATTGTTATTCAAATTTACACAGCAACTACTACAGTCAATGATTAAGAAACTGAAGAATTCTTTAGTATGAAATTAGTCAAACATGCAATCGAGAATATCTGATAATTACTGGTCTTTGTAATGTGAAAGTTTGAAACAAAGTGGAAGGATCAGTAGTTGGAATAAGGCTGTCATGATAGAAACCATGCTGAAGATCATAATGATAGGATTTTGCAAAACCAAGGATTTATTCATTGCAAATACCTTTTCTTAACAACATGATTGAAGTCCTGGTGTAGTGCTGTAGAATAAGCACTGGACAGCAAACCACAAGGTCAGCAGTTCATACTCACCACCAGGTGCTCCTCGGAAACCCTATGCAGGGTCCCTATGAGTTGGAATTGACTTGACAGCACTTAACAACATCAACAACAACACATAGGTGGACCTCACCAGATGGAATACACAGGAATCAATTGACTACATCTGTGTACAAATGTTGGAAAACTTAATATCATCAGTCAAAATAGGGCTTGGGCCCAACTGTGGAACAGACCATCAACAGCTCAAGTTCAAGTTCAAGTTCAAGTTCAAGTTAAAGCTGAAGAAAATTACAAGTCTATGATAGCCAAAATCTGACCTTGAATATATCCCACCTGAATTTGAGACCGTTTGAAGACAACAGATTTGATGCACTGAATACTAATGACTGAAGATCAGAGGAGCTGCGGGATGACATCAAGAACACCATACGTGAATAAAGCAAAAGGTCATTAAAAAGACTGGAAATAAAGAAAAGACCAAAGTGGATGTCAGAAGAGACTCTGAAACTGTCTTGTGAATGTTGTTGTTGTTGTTGTGATGTGCCATGGAGTCAGTTTCGACTCATAGTGACCCTGTACAGGGTTTCCGAGGCTGTAAATCTTTATAGGAGCAGAAAGCCTCATCTTTGTCCTGCAGAACTGCTGGTAGTTTCGAACTGCTGACCCTGAGGTTCGCAAGCCAAATCGTAACTTTTGAATGTAGAGAAGTTAAAATGACTAGAATAAATAATGAAATCAAAGAGCTAAACAGAAAATTTCATAGGGCAACTTGAGAAGACAAAAATTAAGTATTCTAATGAAACGTGCAAAGATCTGGAGTCAGAGAACCAAAAGGAAGAACTTACCATTTCTCAAGTTGAAACAACTGAAGAAAACACTCAAGATTCAAGTTGAAATACTGAAGGCTTTCTTAGACAAAATATTGAATGACAAAGGAAACTTCAAAAGAAGATGGAAGGAATACAGACCAAAAATAATTGGTCTATAGTTAATCATTTCAAGAGGTAGCATATGATCAAGAACCGACCGATACATGCTGGAAAAAGAAGTCCAAGCTGCACTGTAGATGTTGGTGGAAAACAAAGTGTGCTAGTTACAGTTGTGTGTCAACTTGACTGGGCCTGGATTCTCAGTGGTTTGGCAGTTGAGAGGTAGCTATTTCCCACGATATGATTTGATGTGATAAAACAATAAAATGATTATGAGTGGGATGTAGTTGTTGTTAAGTGTTGTTGAGTCAGTTCTGAATCATAGCAAATCTGGGTAGGATTTCTGAGGAGCAACTGGTGAGTTTGAACTGCCAAGCCTGTGGTTCAAACTGACCTTTTGGTCCAGTGCTTATTCTACAGTGCTACACCAGGACTTCACCACCCTTATTCCCACCACCACCCTGACCCAGTTTACTACAAATTCCGCAGGGTGTGGCATGCAAGGAAAATCTTTTGTCTTACAAGAGATAAAAGGAAAGAGACTTCAACAGAGAGAGGGGATCTACTCTCACCAAGATAGAAGAAAAAGGATTGGAGTATGTCATTTGACCTGGAGTCCCTGTACTGTGAAGCTCCTAGGTCCAGACCAAGAATGATGACAAGATGTATTAAGATCTCCAAGGGATACTGGGCCTACAGGGGCTGAAAGGAGACAAGGACCCTCACTCAGAACCAAGAAGGAAAGAGTCTGTCCCAAGAACTGGAACTTTGAATTTGGACTGCTAGCCTACTATTCTGTGAAAGAATACATTTCTGGTTCTTAAAGCCATTTACTTGTGGTATTTCTGCTATAGCAGCAGTAGAAAACAAAGACACAGGCTTCAGGAAGTGAAAGAATACCAACGTTTTGACAAACTGATGCAGTGCTTGTGGTGCTCACTAGTTTATACCAAGAAATCTGGAAGACCAACTGATTTGAAGATATTCATATTTATATCCATTCTAAAGAAAGGTGATCTATCAAAATGAAGAAATCATCAAACAATATAATTAATGCAAGTACAATTTTACTGAGAATAATTACAAAAATTGTTGTAGAAGTACATCCATAGGCAACTACTAAAAATTCAACTCAGATTCAGAAGAGGATATGGTAGGAAAGGTATCATCGCTAATGTCAGATGGATCTTGGCTGAAAACAGAGAATAACAGAAACGTATTTACTGGCACTTTGTTGACTATGCAAAGGCATTTGTGTGGATCATAACAAACTATGGGTAACAATACAAAGAATGGGGAATCCAGAACACGAAATTATGCTCCTGGAGAACCTGCTTCTAGATCAAGAGGCAGTTGTTTGAACACAATAAGTAGATTCTGAATGGTTTAACATCAGGAAAGGTGTGTGACAGTTTCATCATTTCATCATATTTACTCAATCTTTATGCTCAGCAAATAATCTCAGAAAATGGATTATCTGAAGAAGACCATGGCATCAGATGTGGAGGAAGACTCATTAATAATATGCAATATGCAGGTGACACAACCATGTTTGCTAGAAGTGAAGAGGACTTGAAATATTTACTGATGCAGATCAAAGACTACAGCCTTCAGTATGGATTGCACCTCAATATAAATAAAATGAACATACTCACAACTGGATCAGTAAATAACATAATGATAAACAAAGAAAAGATTAAAGTTGTCAAAGGTTTCATTTTACTTAGATACACAATCAATGCTCTTGGAAGTAGCAGTAAATAAATCAAATGACATATTGTATTAGCCAACTATGCTACACAAGACCTCTTTAAAGATGTCACACTTTGAAGACCAAGGTGTGCCTCAACCAAGTCATGGTATTTTCAATTGTCTCATATGCCGATGAAAGCTGCACCATGAATAAGGAAGACTGTAAAAACTGATATCTTTGAATTACGGTGTTAGCAATGACTATTGAATATACTGTCAGAACAAGAAACAAATCTGTTTGGAAATATGGCCCAGTTGCTCCTTGGAAGTGACAATGGCAAAACTTCGTCTTTTGAACTTTGGACTAGTAGGGACTAGTCCTTGGAAAATGGCATCATGTTTGATAATGGTAAAGAGTCAGCAAAAAAAGAGGAAGCCCTTCAATGAGATGGATTGATACAGTGGCAGAACAATGGACTCAAACATAAAAACAATTGTGAGGACGGTGAGGACGGGAAATTGTTTCTTTCTGTTGTGCACAGGGTCACTAGGAGTCAGAACTGACTTGCTGGCACCTAAGAACAATTTCTTGAGAAGTGGAATGTTTTGGTGACAATTTTACAGATAATGTCTGGCTTGGGTGACGCAGTTGGCATCATATTACCCATGACAGGGACCCATTTGAGAAAAAAGAACACTGAAAATAAATTCCACCACAAAGACAGGCCCTTAAGACACACAATGGAGTCAATTAATCACTGATAATATTCAAGTAGTTATTCATCCAGTGTTTACTTGTCAGACCAAAATATCAAATATTCCAACTTAAATATGTTGTCAAAAATGAAGAGCTTTACCTTTTCATATTCAGTAGTGCCCAAGGTATTCCAGAAGGAGTATGAAATGCAGGTAGCAATTTTACCCCAAGCTCCACTGCTTTCTTTCGAAATATCTGAAAAGTTAAACAGTTAAATAAGCTACTGTTGCAAGTAAAAGAAAATGTAATAACAGTATCAGTAGTGGAATAGTAATCTTCTTGTGGGTTTGAATTGCCGACCTTTTGGTTAGCAGTTCAGTGCTTTTCCTACAGGGTCACAATAGGCATCCTCTATGTTACACAGAAAGCAATAAAAACAGAAGTAGCATTTTTTTTTTCTTGGACTGCAATTACCTTTAATGGGACAATTTCTGATTCATCAATTAATGGCATATGGATGGAGTGGAGAAAAGAAAATACCAAAGTTATATACTTTCTTCCCTTTTCCTTCCTTAGTCTAGGAAATTCCAGGTTACCTTCTACTGTAAAGGTTTAGCCAATAGCTGTCAGGCCATCTGTTGACTTCCTGGTTACAACTCAAGTTTCTGAGTTGTTAACTCCCTAGAAATTTACATAACACACACTTCATGCTATATAATTAAACACTATCTTGGGTGTTATAACCATATGGTATGAGGGTTAAGGGCTCAGGCTAGGAAGTCACAGTATCTGTTTTTGAATCCAGCATCACTTCCTCAATTTAGGTAATCTTGGGCAAGTTGCTTAACGTCTCGGTCTTTTCTAATGGGGAAGCTTTATTTATTAAGATAATAAATCATTTATTGCCTTAATTAACTGGCTCATTTATTAGGGCAATAAAGATTAATTAATACATCTGCGGTGGTGCTATAGAACAAGCACTGGACTTCTAGACACAAGGTCACACAAGGTTGGCAGTTCTAACCCATCAGTCACTCTAAAGGAGGCAGGTAAGATTTTCTGCTCCTGTAAAGATTTACAGCCTTAGAAGCCATATACAGGATCACTATGAGTCAGATAAGGAGCTCTGGTAGTGTACTGGTTATGAATTGGACTGCTAACCTCAGGGTCAGCAGTTCGAAACTACCAGCTGTTCTGCAGGAGAAAGATGAGGCTTTCTTCTCCTGTAAAGATTTGCAGCCTCGGAAACCCTGTACAGGGTCTCTATGAATCGGAACAGACTCCATGGCATATAACCACCACCACCATGAGTTAGATGGCAGTGGGTTTGGTTTTGACTTGAGCCACTGTAATGAGAAACCATTATATTCTAGTGTTTGCACAGTGTTCCATCCTATTCCACTAGCTTCCATTATCTATAAATAATTCTCAAGTATGAGGGGGCTTCACAAAAAGTTCATGGAAAAATAGAACTAAAAGATAATGGAGTTTTTCAAAAAAATTTTTGAAGCCCCTTTGTATTTTACTCTCAACCTCAGACACAATTGCAAAATAATTTTGGATAAAAACATCCATGATCCCATTGATGCTTTAAATGAAATTATATGTGAACCTGAACCAATATCAATTCTCAGCATTTTATGTGCCACTTCCTCTTAAGACACAAAGAGAGGGAACCAAAGTCTTAAAAGAAAAGAACATCTTTCTCCTTGAAATGAGGAATATTTAATACAATTCCAAACTAGCAATGCCACAAATCATTTGAGAGAACAATTACATTAACTAGTACATCTCTGGGTATGTGCTAAAGAGTAGATCATCACAAAAAGAATACTAAATGGTATTTCAGTTTTCCTTCAGATAGTGACAGACAAGAAGGAGAGAGGGCAAGAAGCAAAGACCTGGATCCTAGCTTCGTTCTACCAGTGCTTCAAAGTGAGGCCTGGGTAACTCACCTAATTGTTTCAGTTTTCCCAGTAAAACAGAACTGCTAGATTGATGATCTCTATTATCACTTTATTATTGAAAAAACTACTTCTGAGAATCCACAAAACTCGTATCCAAGAGACTGGCAAAAAAAGCAAAATTATTATCATTTTAAGAAAATATAAACCCACTACTGGGTTTATAAGTCAATTCTGACTTCCAGTGACTCGAAAAAAGCAGAGGAGAGCTGTTTTACAGGGTTTCCAAGACTGCAGAGCTTTACTGGAGCAGACAACTTCATCTTTCTCTCAAGGAGTGTCTGCACCTTGCAGTTAGCAATCTAATGCTTAACCTGTTACATTTACATTGTTGCTTTTAGAGTCATCGAGTCATTCTGACTCATAGTGACCCTGCACAGGGTTTCCTAGGAGCACCTGGTGGGCTTGAACCACTGACTTTGTGGTCAGGAGTCCAGTACTTATCCTATAGCACCATGCCAGTACTACATTTACAGGAAATGTGAATTGCTGTCCAATTATTAGTCAGTCTTGGTATCCAATATTTGGATGCTGTGGGAAAGAGAGCAAGATGAAAAGTGGAAACTAATAATTAGACATTAGAAGGCATTTTCTTATGTTTTAGTGGACATTAAAATAAAGTAGGGTTTTTGTACAACTAACACCAATCAGTTTGAGATGAACAGACATTTTATAAACCAACAAGAACCATCAAAAATTTTGTACTACAGAGACTCTAACTTTGATTTCATAGCAAAAATCAAAACTAATATAATTTTCCAACAGACAGAATAGTGGTAAAATGAGATAAAACAGCTTCTATATTAATCTTTTAAGGATGTAACTTTACAAATAATTTTAAATTAAATACATCAAAACTGTATCTTTTCATTACACTTAAGTGACATCATCACTGGTTAATTGCTATTTTTGATCAATGTTTTAAAAACCCCAAAATTTAAAATCTATTTAATAAAAGCACTCCTCTTGTACAGATAGGATTAGACAAGTCTATATACAAGATGTATGGCCTTTTTTGTCTTTTTAGTTTGCAGTTCCCTAAAGAACTGTACAAGAATATTTACATGCCAGAGCAAAGACTAAGGAAAGAAGAAATGAATAAGATCAGACGGCTCTGGAAAGAAACATTTTCAGTTCAGACATGTTTCAGTTTGAAATGCACAATCAATATCAAAGCCTTTCTTCAAATGCTCATGCTGAAAATTTGTTAAAAGACTAAACACTAGTTTCCCTTTAGTATAAGCAGAGTTTACCTACTATTAGTTTTCATTACATAGAGCTGGCAAGATGACTTAGATATGATAAATATCTTCAGCTGAAATAAACCATATATTGTTACCCGAGTTGATGAATTCATACATAATATGAGCCAAATTAGTCACTCAACCAATAAGTATTTATTGAGTCATTTCGGCTTTTCAATTTAGAGGGAAACTTCTAAAGGTTTAAATATAAATAATAAAGATACATAAAAACAGCTAATCCTGAGGAAGCTATCAAATGTCATCCAGTCTCATTATTTCGGCATGCCAATGAGGACGCATCTTGCTGTGGGGTAGATTACTAATATAGGATGGTTCACTGAGAGCTACTGTTAAGTGAACACCAGTTTCATGCCATCTCAAGTGCCTGCAATCCTTTTACTTCAGAGGGTATACATTTTTTCGTTAGCTCTCTCTGATCTTAATGCCATTCTTTCTTTTTAATTGATCGGAACCAAAAATTGAAGTGTTGGTTTTCCTTAATTAAAAATCATTGTTATGTTTGTCAAATTGCATTATAGACTTAATTTTTTAAAAATTATACATTTAATTAATTGGCTACTTTTTGTCAAAAATTTCCCTTTTTTGGTTTCTAAGTTTCATTATAGGGGAGACAATTCACTCTCCAGTCTTCAGGCAAAGAAGAGCATACTCTTCATTTTCTTGAAAAATAAAGCACTAAATTTCCTCAACTTACTTAATCTCTGGTAGCAACGTGGTTACGAATCAGGCTGCTAACCTCAGGGTCAGCAGTTTGAAACTACCAGCGGTTCCATGGGAGAAAGATGAGACTTTCTGCTCCCGTAAAGATTTACAGCCTCGAAACCCTGTATGGAGTCGCTATGGGTCGAAATCGACTCAACAGCACTTAACAACAACAACAACTTATTCAAAATGAAAAGATGAACACACTGACATATCATGTTAACTTGCCAGTAACTATGGATCAGAACTGAGAATACGCAATGTATCTGTACGTTAGACTTGAGTTTATCAATGATGAAAGAATGATACTTCACTGAAGGAAAAAATTCTGATCCATATAATTAAAAAATTTAAATGTAGCAAGCCCTAATGAATAAGTATTGCAGACTTTTCTTTTCAAAGATGTTTATTCCCATGAAAAAACTAAGGGCTAGTAAAATTTTTAATAATTGATTTTATTTTTGCTGTTGTTGAGAATATACAAAGCAGAACATACACATATTCAACAATTTCTACACATACAATTTATTGACTTTAATGACATTGTTTCAGTTGTACGACCATTCTCACTTTTTCTTTCTGAATTGTTCTTTCCCTGTTAACATAAACCCACTGACTCCTAAGTTTCCTGTCTAATTCTTGGAGCTGAGGTTGTCAGTTTGATCCCATACATGTAGAGCTCCAAAGAGCTCAATCCTTACTAGTTAGGATAAATAGCTACTGAAAGTTCTTCATTGCACTCTGATTTTTTAACAAAGAGGGCTCCAATTTCATTCTCTAGCTCCTGAGTGGCTCTTTTGGTGAGAATTTTAGGCTGCTACTCAGAGCAGATAATTGACCAGTATCCATCTAGGCAGCACCTACTCTAGGAACTGGTCCTGTGTTCTTCCTAACCTTAAGCCAAAGGCAGTGTTTCACCAGGACTGCAACAATGACGATGATTCACTTTACTTCTCTAACACTTTGTCATCTCTTTTGTAAAATGAGGGCCCTGGACAAGACACCTTCTGAGGTACTTTTCTGCTCTATAGGGTTATGGTTTTAGTATTTAGTAAATACTTACTACATGTTTGGAGTCTCTGGGTGGTGCAAATAGTAAATGCATTCAACTACTCACCAACGAGTTGGTGGTTTGAGTTCATCAATCTTGAATTTGTTGTTGTTGTTAAGCACCACTGAGTAATTTCTAACTCATAGTGAACCTGTATAGAATTTCCAAGGAGTAGCTGGTGAGTTTGAACCGCCAACCTTATGGTTCAAACCAACCTTGCAGGCAAGAGCTTATCCTACAGCACCATACCAGGACTCCTTGAACAGGAGCCTT